TCCGCGCCCGGATGTCCTGCGCGCCCTCGCGCGCGATATTCTTCCATCGTAGAGTAGAGAGAGCAAGAGAAAGGGGGCGAAAAGAGAAGGGGGAGAGGGAGAAAAGGAAAGAGAGAGAGACAAGCTCGGCGCGTCATAGGAGAAACTTTTAATTGGATATTTTGAAATCTTTAACGTCCGGGGTTCAGGCGACTGCGAGGGCGGGTGTCGCCCCTTTATCGACTGTCAGGGTCGGCCGTCTTCTTCCTCTTCTTCTTCTTCTTCTTTTTCCTTGGCCTTCTGCTCCGTCTTCCGCTCAGTCTGCCGCGAATATTACACGGCGAGCGGAAACATCGCGCGATTTCACGCGACACGCGCCAGGGAAGGCTTCCTGTGCGGCTATACTTACGACTGTATACAGAAAAAAATTAATGTATACACTTAAAGTTAATACAGTTAAATTAGCAATATCATTGTTTCATATATAAGCAACAATATGTCATTTTGTTAACAGAATTTTTACATCTTAAATTTCAACAGTATTACGTGATTTTATTTGAATATCATAATAGTCTCGTACAATATTGTTATTATTATTTTGATATCTTTTTCTGACATTTATAAAAACATATTTTCAATCCAATATTTTGTACTTTACATTCACGAATATTATTTTTGAATAATAAGAACAGATTCTTTTTTAAGATAAACCGAAATCTTACTGTTAGATTCTTCTTCGTTGAATCATATAAGATATATTTTTGCAGGAAACTTATCTTCTCGTTTGACACTATATAATTTCATTTGGAGATTAACGTATCAAAAATAAGGATATTCTTCAAACATAAATGTTCTCTCTTTTTTTATACAAATATTTAAATAGTTTTTTAGTAACATTCGTAATGCAACTTATTACACACTTATATGAGCAATAATGAATCTTTCAATAAACTCGGAAGTATCCAGAAATTTTTACAAATGCTTTCGTTGCAACTGTCACACGAGAAAGAACATCAAGAAAGAAACAAACATTTATGAGTTTAAAACACTTTTCGCTAGTTTATTCATAGTAACGCGAATGATAAAAGTATAAGCTCTTCAACAAGCAGTTAATCGCGTAAAAGCGAAGTAAAAAGCCGCTTGTGTTTAATTATACTTTGTTTGATTACCGTAGCGATTAATTTATAATAGATCGTGTGCACGGTTGCTTCGGCGTTAATAACGATAAGATAACTATTGCATATATGCTGTAATTACAGCTTTTGTAACAAAATTCTCTCTCTCTCTCTCTCTCTCTCTCTCTCTCTCTCTCTCATATACGGTTTAATATACATTATTTAATTAATTAATTTTCGCGCTCAGTACATCGATATATTGTAAATAAATTCAATTAATCGATGTAACAAATGTGCATTAAAAATATACGCTTCGAAAATTATGAATTTTGTTATCGTTGATTGTTTTTAAGCGTATGTTAATAGTATATAGTATGTTAATAATCTCACGCACGTATATTTTATAAAAGCGGATGTTTCTTTTTGCAACAGATTGGAAATGGATCATATTTCTTTAGATTATATTCTTTACAGAGCGATTAATCCAATATGTTAACACTGCAATATGGGCGCGACTGAATTTCGACGCGAGTTATCACTACAAAATTCTATAAGTTCTTACTATATTGCCACTCGAAAAGCTTGGCAACTCCGGCTGGATATTAGCCAGTTTTATGTTTGACGCAAAAACTCTCCTACTCTCTCTCTCTCTCTCTTCCTCTTGTCGTCAGATGCTCATTTATTTCTTGTCTCCAGCGTTGCACATTTTCCAAATTACAAAACGCAAGACTTTCTTGCACGCTCACGAATCGAGACAAGTGGAATGCACATGGAAATGTTATCTAATTGAGAAATAATTACGTAATTGCGCGCCACTGCGATCCCTTATTTTTATTAAAGACGAGTTTCATCCGGGATATTCTCTTACTGAAATGAAAAATCACCGAATTAAAAAACGATTCCGAGATTTCGTCTTCTCAACAAAAAGAAGATTTTACCCTCATATTTTTAAACTCATCACGAAGCAGAAATTCAATAAATAGCTTTCTAAGATACTCGAGATGCATACATTGATGTTAAAAGCACGACAGTTTTCAATATCACGATCACGGATCGTCACCGATCTAACAAGGAACACTAGGCGATAAAAAAATTCAAAAAATTTTTAAACTTTGTGTACGAGTAGTTCATCCGTAACACAAAACTATTTTTTGTTCGTGCAGAAATACAATTTTAGGGGGTGAAACACTCTTTTGAAAAAAATAGTTTTTTTTTCTCTTGAAGCGAATATCGTCGAAACTATAAGAGAGAAAAAATTTTCCAAAGTAAAAATTGAATGATTTCAAGAATACTTTAGAACTATAATAAAAAAAAGTTTTTTAATTGTGTATTTATTGTATACTCCCAACTCCATCCCTATTTAAAAAAAATTTTTTATTATAGTTCTAAAGTATTTTTGAAATCATTTAATTTTTACTTTGAAAAATGTTTTCTCTTTTATAACAATTAGAAGTATCCTAATATTCCTATGTATCGTACAAAAATGCGTAATACAATATGTTGAAAAACATATTTTCTCTTTAGTATTGCATTTTTACAATTTGTTTACTTTATTCCTGACTTTTAAATTTTTATCTCTGTATTACAATAAAACTGTGCGCACATTATTTTGAATGTTTAAAGTGTACGTATATAAAAAATTAGGTTTTTGTCGCTACTTTTTAATTATCTTTTTCTTTACTAAAGATAGAACAATATAATGTATTTCCATAACAGCACGGTTTAAAATATTCCCAAGATGACGTTAAATGACGTATTATCCTCTGCAATGATTTAAAATATAATAACTGCGCGATTCGGATCTAGATCGGGACTTTTTTTAAATAAGTATATCTAAATTTTTTTTCTTTTTTTGCTACTTTTTTTAAATTTAGGAAAACAGAATACAAAATATACCCACTTTGTATTTGCTATGCTAAAAAAATACACAATAATTTAAGTAAATAAAAAGGGATTGAATATTTTCATCATAGAACTTTTGCAGGCATGTACCACTTAAGGGCTTCATGACGTTGGAGACTTCTTTGATGCGTCATTAAAACATCATTTCACGTTTATTTCACCTTCTCTCAGCTTATACCTAAAAGTGGAATAACTTTTGATTCAGCTTTCTGAAGCCTGACCTGCAATGCGCTTCCTTTCTTTATCTCTTTTTAACTTAAACTTCAAACCTTAAGCTTGATCTACAATGTGTTATTTGCTTCTTGTTTTTTTTTTTTTCTTTATCTCTTTCTGACTCACACCTCAACTCTTAAACTAAAAAAAAGACAGAGAACAAGAAACAGAAAGCAAAGAGCACCTTGTAGATTAGGCTTTAGGCCAGAAGAAAATAGAGAGCAAGAGACAAGAAGCAAAGGGCACATTGTAGATCAAGCTTTAATCAATATCAAATTGTTTGTGATCACTTGTAGATGCAACACGCTTAGATTAATCTCCAATTTTCTCATTACTCCTGAGGCAATGCAGCCTTAATGATGAATAACCCAACGCGGGTGCGCACACACCTGTCTCCGTCGCATATCCGCGCGTGTCGCGACCGGTAGTTCGAGAATGATTCGCGAATGAAACGGACCGAGATATGTGAGGGGAAACGCGGAAGCACGAGCGAGGATCTCCGCGTGGGTGAAGAATAATGCATCATACCGAAAAAATACACACATTCGCGCAGCCGCCAGCTGCGGCCGCGCGTTGGCATATGCGTTTTTATTCGGCGGTCGCGCGCGCTGAAGGCTTGACTGAAGAGAGCGGGGTCCCATTTTATTGATTGCGAGGACAGGCGAGGAGAAGACATCGGCCGGGGGTGGCGGTGCCGCTGGCGTCGGTGGCGGCGGCGGCGGCGATGGTGGTGGTGGTCGGTCCCGGGGTTAATGGAGAAGAGAGATTCGGTCGGACGCGGGGGTGGCTGGCTGCGCTCTCGCGTACGACCAATATCGCTTGTCGGCGATTTCCAGGCGAATGGAAATGCTCAGCAACGGATGCCCCGCCGTGCACGGCGGATCATACACGCTCGGCGGCGGATAGTTTCGCTTCGCGGACAGAAAATCCGGGATTGACGGACGCGCGCGTCCACGCGATACCGATATCGGCTCTCTCCCCCTCTCTCTCTCCCTCTTTCACTCTCTTTCCCGCAATCATCGAGGCTCTCGTTATTGCTACGAACGATTGTCGTTCGCTTGGCGCGGGGGAGAATTATGAGACGCGGCGATTAACCTTCCCTCGCGTCGCGTGCTCTATTTATGGCGAAATGCTCGACGAGCAGCGGCAGGAAATGTGTCTTCGTTCTGTGAGCGCGGCAGAGAACTGTCTAATTAAATCTACGCATAGCTGTGATTTTATATAAACGTAACGCGCACGAATATAATGTAATACAGGCGTGTACAGGTTGCTCGTGTACAATTAGTTTCGCCACGTGGCGAATAATGTTCAGCTCGTCTGCTAATAACGACGACGAGGACGAATAAAAAGATAAGCGGGCGAATATAAGAGCGAGGTTCTACTCCCCAAGATAGAATTATCCGAGGAGATTAAGCAATATCTGAGCTGGCTCTATCGCAGAGCCGTTTCCGACTTGATTTTCAAGCGGGCTTCGCTTCTTAATAACCAGCCAGAGCTTTTTATCAATCCTGCAGCTTGCCGAAGCTCACCGTTGCATCTTGGCAACGGTAGATAAAATGGAGAATAGCGAAGACGGGATTCTTTTCTAGGCAATGTGTATCTTTATTGCTGGAATCTTGAAGATAAAGGGCGCGAAACATTGGAATCTGTTTGCTTTAAGCCACAGAATATGTAGATCTCATCCTGCGCGCGATATCTCTGTAGCGCACACTATGAAAGATAAAGTAGGCTTTAGTCTGTCCACACGACGCGCAGGGATAGCGCAAAATCGATTTCTGTTTGTTTCCCCAGGCGAGCTTTGTCGTCCACTCAACTGCAAGAAGAAGGAACTCTGCCTCCTGGAGGACACGTTCACGGCCGTCTGCGTCTCGAAAAAAGAGCTTCACAAATCAGGGTGAGTGTCGAGTCTTTCGTTTGTTTCTACTCTCTGAAATACAGGAGAGCACTTCAATACGTCCGTTATATACGTGTGACAGCAAACATTTTTTTTCTATGTCCGCGTTATCAAACTCTCTGCGTCTGTTTATGACCGATTTCAAAAAGAAAGGAGGCTATCAATTTGTATTGTATTGTATTTATATTTATTTGTATATCTCTCATATAACTCGAGAACCGTTAAAGATGAAATTTTTCGTAACATGTTTAGTATGTTATCAGCATGGTTTTTAGATTGTCCAAATTTGTCCAAATGATCTGGAAATTAGGTAATTTTATTGCTTTCCTGAAAATACGAGAACATAGAGATACAAGATAAAACTTTTATTTTTAGTCGACGTAAAGATAAAACTTTTCTTAAACGACGTAGAAAACAAATTCTTAGCAAATGATTATAAAGTAAAAAACTTGAGAAAAAATAGAGTACATTGAGAGCAAAAATATTTGAGAAATAAATATTGTAAGTCAGTCACAATAATTAGTTGAATGAAAAGTTGTAACTTCGAAATATATTTTAAAATATGGGATATCTAGCCCCAGCCTTCCCTAAAGGGTCTGTCTTTGCGTGTACACATATGTCAAACGTTCGACCAATTAGCAAGCTGGTCACTAGCTCTTTATCGTGAATACTTAAATGTAATAACCTTCCTTTACTACGTAGCCCACTCGCAACACATAGAGCATAAGCCACAATATTGCTGGGCGTAGCTTACGTTAAGCGCATCATTGGTCGAGACATTTATGCGCCGTGCTTACGTCTTTATCTAAATCCCCCGGCCTTTATTCGGGGCCAGGAACGGCGGCGGCGGCTGCGGCGGTATAAGCTGATCTCTCGTAAGGATCCTCTCGTTGCACCGGCTCCAAATTTACTCGCCGCAAACAACGATAACGCGTAAATCCTCGACTGGCGGTGTGTACTGCTCGCTTCCGACTAGCAATTTTCCAAAGTGGCCCGGCATTATCAATCTCGTAACACGCCAATTTCTACGGCGGTACGAATAGCCGAAATTCTCAGCGCGGCGCGGCCCGTCGACGGCGCGCATTTAAGCAGCGCAATATTAATGACGATATCGCCCGCAAAACGGCATTAAACCGCGTCCGAAGCCGTCCCGGTGATCATTGATTCCCCGCGGTGCTTATTGCCAATTAACTGCAATTGGACGTTTCCACGGCGATATATGGCGCACGGCGTACACATCCCGAGCCCCGAATCTCGATCAGCGGCATTCATCTTGGAGCACCATGTACGACATTAAATGACCTTAATGCGTCATTAACGGCTGAACAGCCCGATATGGCTGAATCGATGCCGTCGGAGATTAATTCCGCCGGACGCGTTGATTATCGCCGGCGTTTCACTTTCGCGCATCGATTTCGCGTTCGATCGGCTCGCATGCCACGTGCTGGCAGACCGGGGCTGCTTTTACACACGAGCCAATTCGTCAGCACGACAGCGTACGGTTAAATAATCTCTCTCCGAATCTTCTCTCTCGATTGCCCCTCTGTTGGCGAATAGTTACATTCGAAGACGCTTTCATAGATGTATAGAACGTACATGGGAAATATACTGTAGTAAAAATTATAACAAGTGATCTTTTGCCCCCTTAAAGTGAGTCAGTGAAAATATTTCTTATTGAATCCGTAAAAGTAGTACTGCACCGATAATCAGTGAGTATATTCACTGGTCCAACTGATTTTGATCAGTGAAAGTAAGCTTCCATTGCAAAATCTGTAGTATACAGATTCGTTACACGTTGTACAAAATCCAATTATCCGCGTTCGTGATAATGGAATTAACGATTTTCTTGCAATGACACCTATCTGCGTCCGCAAACTGCATTAGTAACGGTAAGAGTCTTTATTATTATCTGATCTCTTCAGCGAGATTTTACTGATTGCAGAGCTATATTTGTAACTGAATCACCAGTGACTTCATCAGCATTTCAGTGAAGAATACACGGAATGTCTTCAGAGAATGGGTCGTACAGGATTATAATCACTGTATACTCAGGTAGAATTTTGTCGGGACATGCCCCAAGTCCGTAAAAGGCCTAGATAGACATGCTCTAAAATAGGCTTGGCATTGTTGGGCCTGGAAAGGGCGTACAAAGGCAAATTCTGAGTAGAATTTCCTTAACAGCTCTTGAATAGATACTATTGGGGATGCTCCTAACTAGGCTTACCACTGTTGCGCTTAGAAAGGACCTACAAAGATAAATTCTGAGTAGAATTTCCTAAACAAGCCCTGAATAGACATTGTTGGAATTCCTCTAACAAGGCCTACCATTGTTGTGTCTAGAAAGGGCCTACCGAAGTAAATTTTGAGTTAGATTTCCTAAATAGATCCTGAATAGGCGCTGTTGGAGATGTCCTTAACAAGTCCTGCCATCGTTAGGCCTATATATGGCCAAGCAAAAGGATTTCTAAAGGAAAATTCGTAAATAGGCATAGATGTGGATGTCCGTAGACATCAACACAACAAGACATGTACTTATATAATTCAGTCAGGGTCTTATTCAATTTTTGAAATAGTTTAAAGTCTTACAGAATTTTAGTTTACAGTCTTAGACAGTAGTAAAATTGACAATTTATTTATTTATTAATTTACTTCATAAGTTTGAAGTAAAACCAAAATACCTATGATTTTGGTTCTCAAAAATACAGTCTTCCAAATAAGGCGTGTCCACATAGGGTTCCACACAGCAAACCTTCCGCAAGATAACTTGGAAATTATATTGAAATATAACATTGAAATAATTTAGAAATATTTGTGAAACATTTTATCAAAATCTTGTTCACTAAAATACTTTAGAAATCGCTTATAATAAGCATTAATTTATATATTTATATATAAATTTAATTAATTTAATAAAATCTTATATGGTAAGGTGGATTTCTCCTTCTTTGTACTCCTTTATAATTACTCAAAGTTTTATAGTCTTTTATGACTTTATTTATTTAATAACAATTAACAATAAAAAAGTTTTATTATAAAAATTTAAAAATAATGAAATGGAAGTGTGGAATTTTGTAGATTTCACCTCATTAGCTAAGGGCTAAATTAACAATAAAAGTATGAAAAATATAATTTTTATTAAAATTATATCATTTTATTAAGTTATATTATCAAAAAATTATATTACTATGTTAATCACAACACATATGGACAAAATGTAAGACGCTTATATCGATTGAACAAGTGACGTAGTATCTAAGGCAACAGATTCATAATCCAGAGGTGCCTCAGGCAGGGTCCAGGTTCGAGTCCCACTAGTGTCAGTGAGAATTTTTAAGTGTGATGTAGTATTGGAATCAAGTAATCTAAAGTTTTCAAATAAGATCAGCAAGCGCTGTGACTTTTACGAATAGTTTCTATTAGAAAATAGTAGTACATATTTATACATAAAAGAATATTCTTTTCTATTTAGGGATGTTTAGAAAAGGCCTACATAGGCGTGCCAGAATAGGGTCTCGTCAGATTTACAAATCAGGCCCTGACTTACAAAAGCGTTACATCTCTGTACAGGGCTTATTCGGGCTTGCCTGAATGGCGCCTAGACAGAAATGGGGAAAAACTATCTAGGGCCTTTACAAGCTCTTTTTTAAATTCCTACCCGGGTATCTTTTAAAAAATATTTGCACGTTTGACTTTTCATGACAAGATTGCTCAAATAGTCAAATTTACTATTTCCATGGTAATTTATACTACAATTTCACTATTGTTTAGCCTTGCAAAAAGTAAAACTAGACGTAATTGTAACGTAATTTTCTATAGTATATTTTCTATAGACGTAATTGTAACGTAACGTAACGTAATTTTCTACTATAGTGTTTTCTCTGTGTATACCGATTTTGCCAAAGTAAACTTATCACGTGAGCGTATATATCATGTCATAAATTTGCTTTTGATCACATCCGCTTTGGAAAGCGGATACATCCCGGTCACGGGAACTTCGATTACGATGATAATCTTCCAGTTTCGTTTGCGGAGACTACACCGTCGTTTTACTCCTTTCTCGTGGTAGATCAAGGAAAATCTCGGCTCACTTGGTGCTTAATCATCTTAGCGATTTCGAAATTTGATATCGCCTGAGATAGACAGACAGAGAGAGAGAAAGAGAGAGAGGGGGGGGGGGAAGAAAAAGAGGAGCGCATATTCTCATCGCGGATCGAAATTTCTCCGACGCCAAAGGTTACCGTTGACCGTAACGTACCGAGTCATCGTGAGGGATCGCTTTTGATAACGGACTCGACACCGTTAAATATGATTACATTGCTGCGCTCGGCGCGGCCGCGAGCAAACAAAATAATAACGACGGTGAAACGAGACACCCGGCGACTTAGGATGCGCACTCTCGCGGTTAAATAGCGGGGAGTTTAGTCCGGTAACGTAGTTCGAGTAATGGTCGTTTAATTTTTGTCCCGCATAAAGCTAATTCGCGCTTCGCGCTGCAATTTCTAGGGCGTAGCGTCGGTGCCGTGGGCAGGGTTGTAGGACACGAAACTTCATAACGAGCATTAATTCATCGAATAAAGTAGGTTCTATGCAAATCGCGCGCGCGTTGAATCGCTCAAAACTTTCCACCAAGGCGCGGGACGGAGCAATTAGAATTCGAAGTTGAAACATTGAGCTCGCGCTTTATTTGCCATACAAAAAGCGTCCTGCCATTGTCCATTAATTATTGCGAAACTGTGTCGGCGTCCGGCAAGAGAAAGAAGCAAGAACAGTATTAATTATCCGCGACGTGGCTACAAGTCAGTTCTTGCGCCCGCCAGATACTCAGCGAATGCAAATATGCCGCATTTATATCCGCTACTATTGTTACATCGTCTCGAGTATATCCACTTTGGATATTGTATTAGTTTATCTTACTGTGGTGTCTATATTTCTTCTATACGAAATGTAGACTACATTTTATTAAAGTACATTTTGTAAAAATGCACTTTATATTCTTTTCCTTGCAGGAGAGGAATCATCTTTGCCAAATCAATTGAACATGTTTACTCACCCTCTTTCTTTATTCTTAAATCGCTCTGTATCAAGTTTTTGCCTACTTTTGCTCATTGCACAGAAAAAAAATATCATTTTACTTTAATAAGAATACTAATAAGAATATATCTTTCTTTGTTGAATCATATGAAACATTAATAGAAATAATTTACCTCTATTTAACGTTGCGTAATCTCATTTCAAGATTAACATGTCAAAAATAAAGATATCTTGAAAACAAGAATGCCTTTTTCTGTGTATTTACTCGAATGCAGTATGTACTTTCTCGTGCGTGTAACTTAATTCCCGCGCTTGCAGGAAACCTTTCTAGCGCATAATTAATCTATCTGTCTATAGTGTGCCGCCCGTAAATATCGTATATCGTCTCGAGCGTTGGCTTGATATACGTACTCGTGTCATATAAACAAATGACGAGCTGTTGCAAAAAAAGAAGAAGTAAAGGAAAAATAACTATCATATTGTTATCACAGAGCGTATCTTTTGCGCGTGCCTTATACGAGATTTTTCCATTACCTTTCGTTACTTGAAAATAAAGCAGCACAGTGATATTTATCGGAATAAAGGAAATGGAAATTTCTGCCGGGCAACAAGGCGTGCAGCGGGAGGAAGGTTACTCATTTAAAGCTCGTTAGCGTATTTCTTACGTTAACGTGATTTCGGTCGCGCAGTCTATTGTAAATTGCCGTGAATGTGTTTCAGGGACATAGTGATTCCGAAGTCGCGGGCGGTTCAACAGAGACGGATGAGGACTGAGACCTCGGTCGACCCCGACGACGACGACGCCTTCTTCGATTCGGAGGACGACGACGAGGATCAGGACGAGTCCAAGTGAGTGACAACTGACTCTATTATCGTTTAACACTAGAATGCCGACAATTCCCGTTGGATGTCTTAGAGAGTTATTCTAGCTCCTCGCGATTTCCACATTTTAAAACTCTCTATAATCCACATTACTTGTATTAACGATTACTTTTTAACGTGCCAAGAATACAATTTACAAAATATAAACATTTTATATATTGTGGACAAATCACAACAGTTTTCATAATTTTTCTAAACTTTTATTTACAGAAAATATTGTATTTACAGAAAATATTTTATTTACAGAAAATATTGTAAAAAGAAATATAATTTTAGCATAATTTTTACTATTTTTTTTCATTTACTTAATTTTAGAGGGCAAATAAGTAATAATTGTGGAAATTTTTTAAATTTCCTAGAAAAAATAAGAAGTGTTACAATTATTACTTACTTGCCCTCTAAAATTAAGTAATTGAAAAAAATAGTAAAAATTACGCTAAAATTATATTTCTTTTTACAATATTTTTTGTAAAGTTAAACAATGCTGAAATTGTAGTAAATTAATACAAAAATAGTAAATCTGACAAGAGAGAGAGAAGGACCTACATAAAGTAAAAAAATATTGAAGTTTAATTAGTATAATTAAAGTTAGTATAATTAAGTTGAATTAGTATAATTTTGTAAGAAGTCAAAAGTGCAGAACATTTTTAAACAAATGTGTAAGTTTCGATCACATATATAACTCTGTACGGTGCAATGTTACAAAGAAATAATAACTTGTGTACTCTCCTTGTAACATTGACGATTAAACAAAGAATCAAAAGTACTCTCTTAAGTATTCATCGCAATATCGGCGACCTCTTCTGTTATTCTTTCAGCGTATTTTTCTTCAAAAATAGTTAAAAGTCGCGAGAGATTTTTTTCCCAAACCACGAGAGACAGAAACGGCGGCCACAAGAAGACGTTAAAGGCCAGAATGACTCCATCGCGGTCGTTCTAGTGTTAATCCGTCGTGCGCGCGCACGGCGACTTACCTTAAAGTCCGATTAAAACGTTAAGTTCGCCATTAAGCGAGGCCACTTTCGTCCACTCGCGTAGAATATTCGTACTTGCGAAGTCCGCCCTGTGGAATCTCGCTCTTATGGATGATATTCCGGATTCCTCACAGTAAACGCAAGGTTATTAATATTAGCGCGAAGGAGGGGGGCAAGTGGTAAGAGTAAAACGTGATCTTTATGCGAACTGCGGTCCGTTCTCTCTTCCAGAATAGTTCTAGAAACTTCATTTGGAAAAGCCGCGCTCGCGCGCACACACATCTCTGTTTAATACGGCCCGTCTCCGTTGCCTACTTGCTCCCCTGCCCTTCCCCTCGCCTGGGTGAGGGAAGTTTCAGGAAAAATTAGTTCCGAAGATAACATTGCTTTTGCTACCGCCGGAAAATGCGCTGCCGCAAAGCTCGTGTTTACTTTTGGCGAGCCACGTCAAACGAGTATTATCAGTTGGTGCGCGAGCCGCAAAACTTTAAATGCGGCTTCCCCGTGGGGCGCGCACAACTCCTTCTTTCACGAGAGGCGGAATTGAAAATTTCATTTTGCAACGTAATCTTTTTGTCGATACGCGTGTATGTAGACGGCCGGAGAAGATTTTCTCAAGAGCGCGTAGTGTTGCCTCGTCTCGTCTCGTCTCGTCTCGTCTCGTTTCGTCTCGTCTCTTCTCGTCTCGTCTCGTCTCGCGACGGAATTGTAATACGGTTGTGCGCAAACTACGGAGCTACGGATTATCGTATCGGACAATTTTCGCTGGAAGCTCGATCTTCCATTTGGATTTGCGCGGATTTCGCGGAGGGGTCGCGAGGGAAACTGCGCGCGTAACTTCCTACACTTCGACGATCAGTCTCGCCAAGTTTCGCGAAGATGTCTGCCATGCAGCAGTCTCGATTTCGAGACGAGTTTCGAAGTCGCTCGAACGGACGAGTTAAAAACCGCGCGACGGAAGCGCGCGTTAAACTCCCCCCCCCCCCCCCC